CAGCATTCTGGGTCTGGCTTCTTTCTCCTGTCAATCTCTCCCTGTTCTGAGGGCGAAGGCATCATATATATTGCCCTCCTACGGAGAGCTCCTCCCAGTTGGCTGGGAGAGAGAGGGGCCCTGCCCTACTTACACTACTAGACTCCTGGTCCCGGGCATTTAAAGGGATGGTGTCCTGAGTTTTTCCCATCCAACTAGTAATTCCCTGGAACCACTTCCTCTGTTCAGGCTTCAGCCATCTCCTGAACCTTTGTTTGTACCAATGTTCCTGGAGCGAGGTCTTCTGGCCCCTTCTATGCTTAAAGAGCCAGTATACCATGTTACTGCCTCACTTGAGTGAGCGCAGCACCAGGATGGATACAGTAAATTGAGTATTTTGCGATAGGAGAGGAGTGAGAGGAATAACTCAAATAACTCCTTGGTACTAGCACCTACCACACATTGTGGAATGCTATGGTGTTGGCAAAATCAGAAGGCGGTGGCAGCTACTGCTTTCAGGCAAAGCAGCAGGTGCAGAGGATCCTTGGGGAAAGGAGAGGGCTGACAGATAGGTCTCTCACTGAATACACAGAAGAGAACTTTGTATTATTCCCTCAGACTTTTGCTGGGGGGCAGAGGCCTCCTGAAAGATTTCCCATTACTCCCATGGACCAATCCAACTCTGTACACAAACACTAAAAACAAGGAAATCCTGTTAAAGTGACATTTTGCACCCAACCAAGTTCCAATTTCCAAGCATTAGCCCATTACAATCCCAATACTCAACCCCGCTAACACTTCTAAGTCCCTCGCACTGATTTTCAGTCCAACATTACTACCTCCCTCCAATGGACACATCAAAGACCTGAACTATCACACTGCAACACACAACCTGTTCTCCAGCCTTCCAATGCTATATTGTACTGGAGATTATAACTTGTTACTAAGCAATCAAAATAATACCCATAATCCATAGTTCCCATGTAGCGGTTTCATGCATAGATCATAGCGAGCTGTCTGGCTAGTCCTTATTTGTCAGTGCTATGGTCTGTGCTTTAAAGAGTCCAGCCCCCATGGCAAGGTCAACAAATTAATTTCTTAATTGGTCGCTTTGTCACCTGCCAAACCCAGGGCTATAGCCCTGCTGGTCCTAGTTATACTACTGTAGTACAGGGGTTCTCAAACGTCATTGCTCCGCAACCCCTTTCTGATAACAAAAATTACTACATGACCCCAGGAGGGGGGATCAAACCTGAGCCCGCTCAAGCCCCACCACCTCAGATGGAGGCAGGGGCTAAAGTCGAAGCCCAAGGGCTTCAGCCCCAGGCAGGGGTAGGGGGGCGCCTTGGGCTTCAGCTTCAGCCAGCAAGTCTAACGCCAGCCCTGGCGACCCATTTTGGGGTCCTGACCCACAGTTTGAGAACTGCTGCTGTTGTGGATGCACAGAATAGTAGGGAACATAGGATTTCCTTTCAGGGACCAGTTCAGCTTTGAAATCTGCTACCATTCAGTAAAGGGGAATATTATTATTATTGTTGTTGTTGTATTATTGTTATTATTATTAGAGGGGAAGTCAAGATATGTTGCTTTTATGGAGACCTTCAAGGACTCTTGTTTAAGAACTTATGCTCACACACATGAAGAGTGATTGGTGTAATTTATGGACAAGGATCGCTGCTTCTTCTTATTGAAGCATAAGAGGAAAAAAACGACTTGCCGGAGCCCTATATCATTTCATGTTCTAATGTGCAGACAAGCCACAGAGCGCTATCATTTCCACTGGAGGGTTGTACATCCTTTACGTTTAATGGGGGATATTAAGCCTCCTGAATTCAGAGAAATGTTGGGAGTTGTATCCACCATAAATATATTTTTGAATGAATTTCTAGACCATTGCTAGGTAATTGAAATCATTTTTTGCTGTCCACCTTTGCTCATGAAACTGAAAAGATGACCTCTTTGGAGTCTTGTTTCATTTGCCAAAAACATTTTAATATGCCATTTCCCTTTATTCATTTGGTCAGTAAATTTACATATCCAAATCTAGCCACAATGAAAAATAAACTTTCAAACAGAATAATCATAAACCAACAGCCATGAATTTTCCAATTAAAAATAGGGGTTACTAGAATTTTTCTTTGGTTTTGTTTTCATGATAGTGAGGCAGATATTGAAACATCCACATGTTTAAAAGTTGGAAGGTACCAATTGAACTGCAACAGTGTTAAGTCCAAAAAGATGTTAGCATTGTACTACTAAGCAGTGTCACTGTCATGCAGTTCACAGGAAACTCACTAAATGGGGGGCCCTTGCTTTTGGGCTTGTGTGACCCAGAGAGGTTGTGCATGACTCCTGGGCTACCCAGAGAGATTCCCCTTTGGATATGGCCATGTAAGGCTCATTTTGACCTTATATAGCTAACTAAACCTGTCACTGGAAGGAGTCTGGCTCATGAGAATGAATGTAGAGGATATACTGAGCGGGCTCAGTGTGTCCTCCAATATCCAAACCACGTTAGATTCTTCACTGGCCTATTGATCAGTCAGCTAGCACAGACATCAACATGGGCTGAGAACCCAGAGCAAAGTCCCTTTACTGTGTTTACAGAATAGCAGGTATAAGCTAAAGGGAAGGAGCCCATGGAGATGAAGAATTCTTTCTTCCTGTTGGGGAAGGGGAGGCGTTAGGATGAAGAAAGTACTAGAGTAGATACAGAGGGAGACCCACACATGTTCCCATCTCTAGATGATACGTGAGCAGCCCCAAACTCATCTCTGTACAAGAGAATGTGGAAGAGGCCTCCCCGCTCAACAGGTAAAGACTTTGCCAGCCTGTGGGTTTTGTTTGTTTGTTTTTGTTTCATAATAAAGGCACTGAGGTCTTGGATTCCTCCCACACACAACTCATTGGAATCCTAGAGAAGGGATTAATTAACTCCTAGATCTATAGTAACACCTGTTGTTCATGCAACCCTAGCAAGTGGAAAAGTTGAAACTGATATTAGGTGCTTGGATGGAGTGGTAGGAGGAATTAATTTACAGGTGCTTTCAGCTTCATTATTGTTGGGAAAAACCCCGGAACAATTTATTTTGTGGTTACAATCACTGTATGATTACTATATTAAACCTTTGTTTTCTCCAGATGTATAGCATCTCTCACGATCAGGTTGATAATAATGAGAATTATGATTTATCTGAAAAGAGGCTGAAGCCAGTATTACACTAAAATGCTGAATCCATTATTCTGCAGATATTTGGCTCGAATAATAACATTATTAACATAATCATTGCTCGAATTGCAATTGTCCATTCCATCATAGACCTGGATGTTCCTAACCTTGTCATGATAGGCACAAATCCCACCTGCAACGAGACACAAAGTAGTCAATACAGAATTAAAAACAAATAAATCTCAGCCAGAAGCTGTGGCTTCAGCAAAATTCCATCTAATTGAACTTATTAAGTCTTTTGGAAAATGATGCATTGTGCTGTTGTGTAGCTGCATTTACAGAGTACTTGATTCTTAACAGGGAGTTTGCAAACAACTTATTATTTGTTTATTTATTATTTATATTGCAATAGCATCCAAAATGTGCTAGATGCTCTCTGAATGCAGATGGGAACATGGTCTTTACCTTAAAAATGTGTAATCTAAAAAGGCAAGGACAGCTGAAGAATGAAATAAAAAGATGCAACATACACCCGGAGTAACCAGAGTGATGACATACTTGTTCATTACAAGCTCCCCCACTACCAGTCTTGTGTTCACAATTTAACTACATCGCCTACCTCCCTACCACCTTTCCTTTTTATTGACATTTAAATATCACAAGAACATTTCTCTTCATATTTAATCATGTAAAACCCTTGCCTTAAAAATATGATTTATTATTTGTATTACACTCCCTCCTGGAGGCCTCAATCAAGAAAGGGACCCCACTGTGCCAGGCACAGCACAAAAACAGCCCCAACAAGTCTACAATCTAAAAAGACAAGCCAGAAAAAGGATCTGAGCCCCTGTTTCAGTTCCAGGGCCCTTACTCCCCAACATATGACCCCTCCGATCCACTTAACAACCAGTTCACTTCCAAGACAGATAGATGAGGAGAGAATTAAATCCTGATTCAGCTCCTCTGAACTCAATTGAGAGGTTTTTCCACTGCCTTGTATCAGATCCAGTGGGTATGTCTACTCAGCCAAAAAAAAAAAAAAAACCCGACAGCAGCAAGTCTCAGAGCCTGGGTCAACTGACTGGGGCTCCTGGGGCTTGCGCTACAGAGCAAAAAAATAGCAGTGTAGATACGCTGGCTCAGGCTGGAGCCTGGTCTCTGAAACCCAGTGGGGTGGGGAGGGTCTCGGAGGCTGGGCTACACCTGTGTGGGAACATCTGCTGGTTTTAGACCTGGGCTCTGAGACAATTGACCTGGGCTCTGAGACTCAGTGATGCGACTTTTTCTTTGAAGTGCAGCCATACCCTAGTCAGCTAAGGCCTGATCCTTCGTCCACAGAAGTCAGTGGATTATTGTCATTGAGTCCAATGAAAGCTAGATCAACCCCCTAGCTGGTACTCTTCATCCAACCCTGAAATGGGTTAGTCATGCATAACTTTCTCTGTCCTCCTCCCCAAGCCAACGTGCCATGACACAGCAGAATGCCTGAATCCCAGGATCAGCTATTCAGCCCCCAAAGTGTTCTAGTTTCCCACTCAGCTGTGCTACAGGAAAGCTGTCAAGTATTTTAGGATCCAAATGTAGGTTATGGAGTTTAGTGGAGGCTCTGTGCTCCACTGGCGAGGGCACTGCACTGAGAGTCAAGTTCTATTGCTGGCTTTGTCACTGGCCTGCTCTGAGACACTGGGCAAGTTACTTCACTGCGCTGAGCCTCTCTTTTCCCTCCTTCCCGTCTTCTGGCTTGTCTTTTTAGATTGTAAGCTCGTTGGGGCTATTTTTGTGCTGTGCCCGGCACAGTGGGGCCCCTTTCTTGACTGAGGCCTTCATGCGGGACTGTAATACAAATAATAAATCATATTTTTAAGGAAAGGGTGTTATGATTAAATATGAATAGTAATGTTCTTGAGATTTAAATGGCAATAAAAAGGAAATGTTTGTTTCCATGTAAACAGTCTACTACAGTCTTAATCTCAGCTATTAAAATCTTAATAATGTAGTGAAAGCGACTTTTTAATATATAATGTTTTATCTTAATAGTGTCCCTTTAACTTTACAGCACATACTGTACCTCTGAGATATTGTTGCCATGACCAGGTAGGGTACTTTGTCTGTAATGCCTTAATTCCAGTAACTAGAATAGTTGCACCTTGAGTTATATGTTCTTCACTATCCCAGGCTCCAGGAATCGAATTGTAGTGTGTATGAACCTAGAAGATTCAGACAAAAAATTCAGTCTCCTTAGAAACAAAAACACCACTTTTGTTTTCTGTTCTTTATATTTTTAGCCCCCAATTCAAGGACGTATCCTTATTCAGGACGACATTCAAGCACATGAGCTGGTGTTTTCCTGAACAGGAATAGACTTAAGTATATACATAAGTTCTGTCCCCGAATGTATAAAGTAATTTGCTAAATAAAGTAACGTATAAAGTAATTTGCTAAAGTAAAGCCTTAGTGCATAATATTTCTATTTCAGTACTTGGGATTTTTATTTTTCCTGGTCTTCCTTCTGTACCTGCATCAAGCCATATTGGTTTCTTTCACGGTTCCAGCCATCAACTAGAGTAGCTCCAGCACGACTCTCCACAGATATGATTGCAGCAATGAGTGCTGGATCTATGCACAGATTTCTGGCAACTCTCATAATAGGGACTTTGTATCTCTTTAGACGTACTACGTCTATTTCAGCACTCTTTTCTGCAGCCTGAACCCCTGTAGCAAATGCAAAGGTGAATGTGGTTTCTGCATGTAATTTAAAAAAAATCACTTTACAGATAAATTGGCATTTATAAAAAGCCATCATTTGCTGATTAGAAAGATGCAGCCATTTAATGTGGATCAACATATTTGAAAAGCCAGTGCAATCCTATTGGTTGATAGTTTTTGAAATCCAGAAGGCAATAACGATATAACTTTATATCTCTCTGAATCAGTAACAAAAGGGTTGGGGGCAGCCCCTGTAATTCCTAGGAACCCTTTGATATCTCTTTCCTCCTTAACATTTTCCTGATCCAGTCTTTTTTCAGACTTTCCTTTCAATAAAAATTTGACAACCCTGATTTTCAGAGATGCTAAGCACTACGGGTCACCGGTACTAGAGTACTTTTGAAAAACTATCCATAAATTTATAAGAAAGAGAAACACCATGAAGATAAATATGTTAAATTATTTGTATTTTAAAAAAGCAACACAGCAATCTACATTAACACTTAAATCCCCCAGCAAGCAAACTTTAAAACAGTTGATAACATATGTATTTAACATAACTTACACTATGTAGTAGTTTTCAGCCCCAAAAGTTTTATGAATTTACACTACATATAGGAATCACACATCAGTAAAATACAGCCACCTCTACTCAGAAGTGAAGCAATTGTTTAAGAGCATAAGGCAACAGCACAGGACAGAAAGTGGAGAATACTGTATCCAATCAAAATGGCAAAGGGGAACTTAGGTATACAAAATGGATTTATCCAATTTGGAGTTTGATCAAGACAATGGGTTTAGCAGCCCTGGATCACTCTGGATCACTGGATCATTACTGACTCTGAGGGAAGAGTGCTATCTACTGAATCATTTTCCTGCCATGATGTTCCTTGTAGGTCTCCTTTCCAAGTACCTACCCAGCCTGATGGTAATATAGTTAGATCATGAATGGGAAATGGAATGAAAGCAAAGAGTGGGAACCTTCCCCTTGAAACCTGACTGGCTTTAAACAGGGCCCACCACCCAATGCACTTCAGTCTTAGTTGTCCAAGTTTATCTTCAGATCTTTAAGATATTACAAAAGGAGAAATACTGGCTCCATTGAAGTCAATGGGACTTTTGCCATTGACGCTCAGTGGGGCTAGGATTTCACCCATAGCAAAATATTGGATGTTTTCTACATGTTGCAATAAAATGCCGGTATTTCCTTTTCCTTCTCTAACACATCTTCTTTTCCAAACAGGAGTGCAAGTGAAAAGATTTCTTACCCACAAAACTTAATCTCCTCAAAAAATGTAAAGGAAATTGGGCGAGAATTCCCAAAATGGGGCACTCAAAGGAGGAGTAGGATCACCACAGCTCCAGGGTCATCCTCCTTTGATTTGGGCCTATAAAATATGTATTTGGCATGTCACAACTGGCCAGTTTGTTCAGCATGTCAAGACTCAAGTTTGATTCCAGGTGTCTTGTTTCCCAGTCTAGGAGGGGTCTGGGAGTGCTGAGGAAAGTGTGTGCTCAGCACCTGTATGGAGATAATGCCACTAAAAGCCTAGCAGATTAAGGAGCAGTGTTGACTGGAAAGGGAATATGTCTGCTTTTCTTTGTTCAGAGGCTGATTGCTATAAATGTGGGACCTTAAAGGGGGGTTCCTCAGAGACAGATACAGAAGACATAGCTAAGAAAGGCTGCCATTTGAAAACAGTAGGCCTTAACATTTGGCACTTCCCCTCACCTTGTTTTGTAGACTCAATATCACTGTCTACTCTCCAATTAGCCCTGTATTTCTGAGCACAAACAGAAGTGTGTGCACTGAAGTACAGCCAATCAAGCAGTGAATGATACCTACCACAAGTTGGGGTTTGTACAGCTCTGCAGGAAATCACAGGGGTTTCCATAGTACGTAAATCACCATAACATCCATAACTTACAGAAGGAGCTAAAAAGTTAAAGGGAGATATTAAAAATAAGATCTTAAGACTGTATTGCTGAGACTGTTGCAAGCATGAATTAAACTTATGCAGAAAGAACACCTCCACACTGACATTTCTGTTGTATTTTAGTAATTTATATTAATAGCACTATTAGCAGCAGCAGCATCAATGGCACCTTCAACAAAATCTAATATCCATTAATTGCCTTTTTCTAATATTACATATTGAAGTCAGTAGAGCCAAGACAATTTTTATCAGCTGAGGATCATAGAATCATAGGACTGGAAGGGACCTTGAGAGGTCATCTAGTCCAGTCCTCTGCACTCCTAGCAAGACTAAGTATTATCTAGACTATCCCTGACAGGTGTTTGTCTAACCTGCTCTTAAAAATCTCCAATGATGGAGATTCCACAACGTCCCTAGGCAATTTATTCCAGTGCTTAACCACCCTGACAGTTAGGAAGTTTTTCCTAATGTCCAACCTAAACCTCCCTTGCTGCAATTTAAGCCCATTGCTTCTTGTCCTATCCTCAGAGGTTAAGAAAAAACATTTTTCTTCTCCTTCCTCCTTGTAACAACCTTTTACGTACTTGAAAACTGTTATCATGTCCCCTCTCAGTCTTCTCTTCTCCAGACTAAACAAACCCAATTTTTTCAATCTTCCCTCATAGGTCATGTTTTCTAGACCTTTAATCATTTTTGTTGCTCTTCTCTGGACTTTCTCCAATTTGTCCACATCTTTCCTGAAATGTGGCACCCAGAACTGGACACAATACTCCAGTTGAGGCCTAATCAGCGCGGAGTAGAGCGGAAGAATTACTTCTCATGTCTTGCTTACAACACTCCTGCTAATACGTCCCAGAATGATGTTTGCTTTTTTTGCAACAGTGTTACACTGTTGACTCATATTTAGCTTGTGGTCCATTATGACCTGCAGATTCCTTTCCGCAGTACTCCTTTCTAGGCAGTCATTTCCCATTTTGTACGTGTGCAACTGATTGTTCCTGTCTAAGTAGAGTACTTTGCATTTGTCCTTATTGAATTTCACCCTACTTACGTCAGACCATTTCTCCAGTTTGTCCAGATCATTTTGAATTTTAATCCTATCCTCCAAAGCACTTGCAACCCAGCTTGGTGTCATCCACAAACTTTATATGTGTACTCTCTATGCCATTATCTAAATCATTGATTAAGATATTGAACAGAACTGGACCCAGAACTGATCCGTGAGGGACTCCAGTCATTATGCCCTTCCAGCATGACTGTGAACCACTAACAACTATTCTCTGGGAACAGTTTTCTACCCGGTTTTGCACCCACCTTATAGTAGCTCCATCTAGGTTGCATTTCCCTAGTTTGTTTATGAGAAGGTCATGTGAGACAGTATCAAAAGCTTTACTAAAGTCAAGGTATACCACATCTACCACTTCCCCCCTCCCCCATCCACAAGGCTTATTACCCTGTCAAAGAAAGCTCTCAGGTTGGTTTGAGATGATTTGTTCTTGACAAATCCATGCTTACTGATACTTATATATCCCTTCATATCTCTATACCTGAGCAAATGTCCCAACGCATGAACTTATTTCAGTGAACTTCTTCTATCAAACTCCTACAAGCATACCATACATCCTCTGAGAATTTATCTCCAGTGAGGATGGAAGACTACCCATCTCCTATTGGCAATGGATCCTGTGTCCATCTGTGACATAGTGAAGTTTTGAAGGAAAAACAATGAATCACTGGCCTGGGCCTTGCCAAACTGTTCTACTTTCTAGAAAGTGGGGAATTAACTGAACCCATCAGCCAACCAAGGGCATTTATGACCTTAGCTAAGAATTAACATAAGTTGTTTTTGTGATCCTATTCTGCTGTCTAACCTATACTTTAGCATGTATAGTTTAATAGGCTTACGTGGAAGGCAAGAAACCTCACACCCAAAAGAAGAGTTACCCATATGGTAGATTTTACAGCTCTATATAATAGGAGAACTCAGATCTGATTGCATTCCCCCTGCCCTACAATAATCTCTTGCCAGTGTTGCTTTTGACTAGTGAAACAGAAATAACCCCCAAACTCACCAACAAGGGCAGCAAGGCCCAGAAACATCAGTGTTAGTAGCATGGGGATGGTTCTTCTCAGGCACCCAAGACAGTCTGAAAATTAATCAAACTCTGCAAACATGAAGAATTCAAGAAAGTTTCCAATGTTACTAAGAAAAAGTTCACCCACACAAATGGCAAATTTTACTCAAACCACATCTAAAGACAGGCTCATTGACTTTTTACCCAGTCTAGCACACACTTACTACTTAGTTGGGACTTACTGTCATATGGACTTCAGCATAATACACCCTGTACTTGATAGTATTTGAAGGATCAGACCATTATAGTCTGTCCCTGTACCCATTAAATCAGTAGCAAACATTTTCATAGATCAGACCAATAGTGAGCAGACTTTTTGGTACATATCATTGTTTTTTCCATGAACAGGAACTGGCCATATAGTCACATTTTAACATATCTTATTTTTTTCCTCAAAGATTCCTTTTATATAAATCATTTTAAAAGTCCATCAATTGCTTCATTATCCTTAAACAGACACACAATGACAGTCACTAGATTACTACAAATAGAATGTCACTATGAATAAAATTGAGGATGCCTCCCGCTCCAAGGGAGTACAATATGAATGAGTTCAGACTCACCTGTCTTCAGTCTGCCTTGTCCTGCAAGACCGATCAATTAAAGAGCTTTATATATACTAAGGTGCCCCACCCTCTGGCTTTGGGAATGTTGAGTTATACCTAGTGTGATGACATTTCCTGTAAAGTTTAAAAACAATAATAATAGTAATGCTTTGAACTCATATAATACCTTTCATCCAAGGCTCTCAAAGCACTGCCCTTCATTATTTTATTAAGCCTCAGAATAAGCCAATGAAGTAAATAAATATTATATCCTTTTTACACAGCTGATGCACAATAAATGACTTGCACAAAGTATAGCAGTGAGTCAGTAGGAGAGGCCACAATTGAATCAGAATACTATTATTTTCCTGCTGTACATCCCTAGACCACACAGCTAAGAAGGTCTTCGGCCCACTGATGTTACTTTTCAATAAATCTTGGAACACTGGGGAAATTCCAGAAGACTGGAAGAGTGCAAATGTTGTATTAAAATTCAAAAAGGGCAAGTGGGATGACCCGGCTAACTACATATCAGTTAGCCTGACATCAATTCCAGGAAAAAATAATGGAAAAGCTGATACAGGATCCAATTAACATGAAATTAAAGAATAGAAATATAATACCAATAAACATGGTTTTATGGAAAATAGCTCTTGTCAAACAAACTTGATTTCATTCTGCAAGGAAATTACAAGTTTGGTTGATAAAGGTAACTGCGTAGGTGTAATAAACTTAGACTTTTGTAAGACATTAGACTTAGTGCTGCATGATATTGTGATTAAAAAGCTAGCACTATTCAATATCAATAAAGTATATGTTACATTAATTAAAAACTGGCTCACTAATAGGTCTAAAAAAGTAGTTGTCAATGGGAAATCATCACCAAATAGAGGTGTGTCTATGGGGTTCCACAGAGATCAGTTCTGGGCCCAGTACTATTCGATATCTCTACCAGTGATCTGGAGGAAAATATAGAATCACTGCTAATAACATTTTCAAATCTAATATTTATTACTGTATGTCAAGTCCCAGACTAAAGGAAGGCACAGCCCAGTGATAGCAACAAAGGAAGCAGGAGTTTTTCTTGCAGTGCTGCTGCTGCTTGTGACCCTGCCTTCCCTTGGAATAGGTGTGGGGAGAGCAGTCTGGCATCTGGAGATGGGGACAGCCTCAAAAACAATGAGGGGGTGGGGTTGCAAGCAACTAGGCCTCTGTAAAGAGAGCACAATGTAAGGGGAGCCACCGGGTGTGATCTTCCTTTCAAGGAACTGCCATTTGTGGCTCTTTTAAGCCTGGGAGCATCTAATTTTGGTAAACAGTCTAGTGAGAGTAGACCAGGTGAGCATAAACATTTCATCAGCTCATGTGATAGAAAGAATATTTACAGGTTTCAGAGTAGCAGCTGTGTTAGTCTGTATCCGCAAAAAGAACAGGAGTACTTGTGGCACCTTAGAGACTAACGAATTTATTTGAGCATAAGCTTTCGTGGGCTACAGCCCACTACTTCGGATGCAAAGAATGGAACACACAGAAAGAAGATATTTATACATACAGAGAACAAGAAAAGTTGGGAGTAGCCATACCAACTGTAAGAGGCCAATCAATTGAGATGAGCTATCATCAGCAGGAGAGAGAAAAAAACCTTTGAAGTGATAATCAAGATGACCCATAGAAGGTGTGAGGATATTTTAACATATTTTAACATCAGGAAATAGATTCAATTACTGTAATGACCCAACCATTCCCAGTCTCTGTTCAAACCTAAGTTAATTGTATCTAATTTGCATATTAATTCAAGTTCAGCAGTCTCTGAAGGTGGCAATTTTGCAACAACATAACTTCAAAAAAATACTCCAAAGAGAGACTCTGAAACTCCAAAGAGAGACTGCTGAACTTGAATTAATATGCAAATTGGGTCATTACAGTAATTGAATCTATTTCCTGATGTTAAAATATGTTAAAATATCCTCACACCTTCTATTATCACTTCAAAGGTTTTTTTCTCTCTCCTGCTGATGATAGCTCATCTCAATTGATTGGCCTCTTACAGTTGGTATGGCTACTCCCAACTTTTCTTGTTCTCTGTATGTATAAATATCTTCTTTCTGTGTGTTCCATTCTTTGCATCCGATGAAGTGGGCTGTAGCCCACGAAAGCTTATGCTCAAATAAATTCGTTAGTCTCTAAGGTGCCACAAGTACTCCTGTCCTTTTTTTAGAAAGAATATGAATATTATGATGTCTAGATATGGAGTGGAACAGTCATTAGAGAGGTTTTTAAGGTCAAGTGTCAACCAGGGCCTAGATCTTTCACAGCTCCTAGAGACAAGTGAGAATCTGAGTGTCTACAGACCTGGTTAAGCAACCTGTGCTGCATACTCA